CCACCTTCTTTTGTAACTTAAATATTCTGTCGGCACATGACCAGAGTTGCCCCAAACAGCTATTCCATATTGTTATATGACTATGAAACAATGAAAAGTAACACATTTTAAGGGTACTTTTAAGGTACCAAATAAACCAGGTTACGTATTACAAATAGTTGTACTGGGCGAGTTTAGAACTTAAGATTGTCTATATGCGATGCACCCCAATCTAAGTTGTCATCACATAAAAATCCCTAACAATTTGATGCTATATCCAAAAATGTGTCTTCGATCTGAACTGAAAACTATATTTTGATTTTTATCCTCGTTTAGTTTTAGTTTTATTATGTGTAAACCAGTTTTTAATTTTAAGCACATCGTTTCCTATTTTTGTTATTTAAATTATATTAATTCTGGTCAGGTACTAATATCGGTTGTATCATCTGCAAAACATATACACCTTAAGGGGTGGTTATAATGAAATTATATCGTTGAGATATAGAAGAAAAATTGTAGGTTCTAATATAGACCCTTGTGGAAGTCCATGTTCAACGTTGTGAAAATTGGAGTAATTATTATTTTAAAAAAACGGCCTGTTTTCTGTTTATTAAATACGATCGAAAATAAATTAAGAGCATTTCCCCTTATGCCATATTTGTGCATTTTGTCTAAAAGTAAAGTGTGTGAGACACAATCAAAAGCCTTAGATAAGTCACATAATGTTAAAGACTCGAAGTGACCTCTCTCTAGGCCATTAACTACTTTCCTTACAATTTCCTGAATTGCTTGAGTAGTGGTGCATTTTTTTCTGAAACCATCTTGATTACAATGAAGTATTTTGTACTTTTCTATGTACTCTATTAAACGGTTATTCAAAATACTTTCAAAAATTTTACCAAGAATGGGAATAATAGAAATAGGGGGATAATTTTCAATTTCTTCTGAAGATCCTTTTTTGAGTAGCGGTAACACTTTTGTTACTTTTAATACATCGGGAAAGATTCCTTCGATAAGGCAAAGATTATAAAGTATGACCAGTTTATCAATAATAATATCCAGAGTTTCTATCACTAATTGTTTGTTTAAGAAGTAAAAATCAATGCATTTTGAGTTTTTCAAGTGTCACAAAAGTTAGGATTCGAGTGCCGCGCGTGGCAGGGGAGTATATTCCCTCTAAAAAATTCATGGGAGTTATGCAATAGCGATATCAAACCTACTTAAAATGGTTTAGTCTTCGTATTATAGTTTTGCTATAATTTAAACAATTTCCTGAATATACTACAGTTATAACCATACTTTTTCTTCTTCAAGTGCCATCTCCGCGGTGGAGGTCGGCAATCATCATAGCTATTCGGAATTTTGTGACGGCTGCTCTAAAAAGTTCATTTGATGTATGTACATCCGTACCACTCTCTCAGGTTGCGCAGCCAAAACATTCTACGCCTCTCCATGCTTATCTTTCCTTGGATCTTTCCCTGCATAATCAGTTGGAGCAAGGTGTGCTTCTCTCCACGTGTAATATGTCCAGATATTCCAATTTTCTTGTTTTAATTGTATTTAAAATTTCTATTTTTTTATTCGTCCTTCTCAGAACCTCTTTGTTTGTGACGTGATCTCTCCATAATTCTATACAGCCACAGCTCTAATGATTCCAGTTTTTTCATTGATGTCGCATTGCAAGGTCCAAGATTCCATTCCATAAAATTAAGTGGAAAAAACATAGCACTTCGCCAACCTAACTCTTAGTTCCAATTTTAAATCCTTTGTACATAACACTATTCTCATTTTGTTGAAATTGGCTCTAGCCTTTTCTATTCTGATTTTGATCTCCTGAATGTAATCATTTGTGGAGTTAATCATTGTTCCCAGATATGCATACTTGTCCACTTGTTCGACGTTGGTTCCGCTTTATTAGAAGATTCTCGTTATTTCTTTGAGTTTTCGATCTTTTCATAAATTTCGTCTTCTTGACGTTCATTGTTAGACTCGTACTCTTTTCCATACTCCGCTATTCTGGTCACCATTCTCTGAAGATCTTCAGTATTTTCGGCTAACATCACAGTGTCGTCCGCATATCTAATGTTGTTAATGGGAACTACATTTACCTTTATTCCAGATGTTTCATTCTCAACAGCATTTTTCAAGACCTCTTCGGAGTAGGCATTAAAAAGAATTAGCGACAATACGCATCCCTTTTCACTCCACGTCTAATTTCAATTTCTTCTGACAGCTGTTCGTTAACTAACACGTACTTTTGCTCGCTGTTTTATAGTATAAATTTGATATGATCCGAGGTCGTTGTAGTCAATCTTCTTTGATTTTGGACATTCTATAATTGTTTATGTGGTACTTTATGGAATGCTTTATTGAAGTCAATAAAACATACATCTTGATTGACGTCCAGACATCTTTGTATCTGTTAAAACTTTAAATGGTTTGAAGACGGCCCTGTCGTCTTTGGAACGACCTAAGTCTTGCTTGGCGACGGCTTGTCGCTAAAGATGACTAGAAATTCCCGTTACGATATATTTTGAAAAATACCTACCTTTGAGAGTCTACCTAGCAACCCTCATTCGACATTCATTCCGTTTCAAGTCATCGATGTAACAGCATGTAGTATTGATTTATATTTATAATATTTTTTAGAATAGTTTCATGTACGGTCTTGTGTTCTTTACTAAAACCACGGGAAGTCCAAAATAATATTTAGCAACAAGTAACTAGAAGAACTCAAGATTCCATTTTTTCCGCTGAACAGTTACCAACAGTATTAGTATATTAAGTGAAAAGAGCTTTTACGCGTTCCTAGTCCTTGGCGAAAACCAAATTGTGTATCATTAACGTCTATGTCCAGTTTGTGATATATTCGGTTATGGATGACTTTTAGTAGTAACTTTAGTAGATGACACATAAAGCTAATGGTGCGGTAATCGCTGCACTCTCTTGCGTTTTTCTTTTTGGGGAGACAAATAAAAATCGACGTTAACCACTCTTTGGGTAATACGTCTGAACTATAAATTTGGTTCAAGAGTGTTACTAAAACATCAATGTGCTCCTATCTAGAATTTTTAGGATTTCTATAGGAAGCCTGTCAGATCCAGGACTTTTCCTTGTAAATAATGCGTGTAAGATTTCTTCTTTTGTAATATATGGACCTATTTTTTCTAACGTAATCTCCTCTTTCATCATTGACCAGTTGGTCGATATATTCTGCCCATCTTTGTACTTTCTCGTCTCTCTGTGTTATAGTAGTCCCGTGTCTATCCAGAAGTGCACCAGTGGGATTTTGTTTTCTTAGTCCTGCCAGTTCCTTAACTTTCTTGTGTAGGTTAAACAGATCATATTTATTTTGAAGGTTTTCGATCTCTTTGCATTTCTCTTCAAGGTATTTTTCTTTTGTCTACTTTATCATCTTCCTGATCTCGTGGTTCATCTCACTGTATTTATTGTTGTCTCTATTCTCAAATTGTCTCTGTTGTTCCATCCATATTGAGTATCTCATCATTCATCCATTCTTCTTTTCTCCTTGAAGAAATCTTTAGTATTTCTTTACAGATCCCAATACTCGTCAATAGCATTGGTGTTTGTGTTCAATTTGCTGCAGTTCACATGCAGTTCATGTTGAAGGCAGAGAAGAAGTTCATAAAGAAGAACAGTTACGAATAAATGGCAGATAAACTTCTATATTCTGGAAACTCTCTCTCTTCAATCCTGACCCCCCAGGGGGAGTGTAGTGGTCGACGTGATGTCGTATATTGTCCTTCTCCAGAGATCTCTGTCTCTGGTCATTTCTTTTAATTCATGCATAGGTCTTTGGCATATTCCTGTAATTTGATCTATTCATCTTGTTGGGGCACTTCCTCGTGATCTTCGGCCTTCTATCTTTCCTTGTATTATGAGTCTTTCCATGTTTTCTGTGTTTGCTCTCATAACATGCCCAAAATATTTTAATTGTTGGAGATGGACTTTACTAGAGAGTCGTTGGCTAACTTTTAGCTCTCTTAAAATTGAATTATTTGTTCTACGATCGGTCCAAGGAATTCGTAACATTCGTCTCCAACAGAACATTTCAGTGGCGTCTATCTTTCTTCTCTCCGATTGTCTCAGAGTCCAAGATTCACATCCGTAGGTCAGTATTGGGAATATTAAGCAGTTGATCAACCTCATCTTTATCGCTCTTGAAATTTGACAGTTCTTCCATATTTTGGTCATTTTTGCTGTAACAACTTTTGCTAGATCACATCTACGTTTAATCTCTTCTTGTAATGACCCTGTGTTTGTGATTAATGATCCCAGATATAAGTATGAGCTCACAACCTCGAACCGGTCAATTGTGGTTATGTGTGGATGATTGTTGTGTAGTCTATCCACTATCATCATCTTTGTCTTTGATATGTTTAATTGCAGACCAAATATTTGACTTTCTTTTTCGATCAGTCGTATAAGTTCCATCAGCTCTGCTTGACTATTTGCAAGAAGGGCTGTGTCATCTGCGAAACGTAGGTTGTTTAGTTTATGACCATTTATTGAGATGCCCTTTTCCATCCTTCAAGTGCTCTTCGCATAATATACTCCCCATATATGTTGTGGAGATAGTATACATCCTTGTCTGACACCCCGTTCTGGATGAAACTCGTTCGAAAGTGTGTCAAGTACTTTAACTTATTCTGGAAACATGTGGCTCTTAAAGAAGAAGAGGCTTTTTTATGGCTTAGAATAATTTTATCTTGTAATCTCTTTTTCTATTATTTTTCCAATTAAGTTTGTTACTGTCGCATCGTCTAGAAATGCATTACACGATTTGTCATCCCATGCATATAAATATAAAATAATCATAGTGATCCAGTCTATTAAATGCAGTTGATATTCAGCGAGACATTAAATGCCCTTGCAAATTGCCTTATTATTTTCACAAGAGTAATTGTTATTGAAGTATTACTAGCTGCATAATATAATCAAAGTAGTCGTTAATAATACGTTGATTAGTTTGTTAAAATAATGTGTGGGCAAGCTTGAATGCAGTTTTATGCGTTGTGCACTTCCCATTAAATTTGATCTGATAAGCCGCATGCATCAACAATAATAATTGTTTGGTAATCTTAAATGTTGTATTTCTGTGATCTGGATTAGTTTGGTGCGATATCAATAATAACCAGTGGGTATTTAATCATAATAAAACTGTTTAAAGTTCTTTTATAAGAAAAAACATATAAGCAAAACATATTACGTGGTAAGTAACAAATACGAGTAATTGCTAAGAATTTATTACTGAATGTAAAAAGAATAAATAAATCCTATCAATCAGAGTATAAATATTCTTCTTCTTGTTCTCCTTTTATTTAATCATCGTATTCTATTGAAATGTTGTCATTCCATCTCTTTCTAGGTCTTTTAAAAGACTTTTAAAATCATTATCGGGCTATTATAAATATTCTATATTCTGTATTCTGCTAATATTAGAATTGCATTCTTCCTTTACATCATCATCATCATCGTGCAACCCACTTCTTTCCACTGCTCTTGGATATTCGTTTAATGTCGTCCACCTAGTGTGTTAGTGGTCGTCTTCTGCTACGTTTGTCTTCTCTTGAACGTCAGTCAATTAGTTTTCTTTGATATAAGGTTGAATGCTCGAATAAATGAACTTTGAAAAATTAAGGCAAATATCGAGAACAATTTTAATAATCAAATCTTGCCCAAGTACTTTCGCTTTCTACAACATCATCAGGGGCATTTCATCAAATTTGGACTATCCAACAAACGCAGAATGTAATTATTCTACGCTCTACATTCTTGTCGGCAATATGAGAAGAGAATTATTCTCTCTCCTATGAGATTTCTATTTGTAATGGTGGTATCATTTGCGAAATGTTCTATTGTGCCAATTCAATCTACGCCATTATCTTTTCATTGCATGTATATTGATTGATCAACCAACTTCCCAAGTGTTGTAGTGTTTTCTCTGGTATTTTGTTCTTCTTAAATTTTGAGTTTAGTACTAAGCATAGCAAATTATGTTCAGAGTGTACATCTGCCCCACAATTGGTTTTCGTTAACCTATTAACGAAACCTATTAAAGTTAATCATTGGTGCAGTTTTACTTTCCTGCACGGTCATCTGGGTCAGTATAATCTTAGTAATGGTGGTAAGGTTGAGTGTCCTCATCACTCTCCAGCAAATATTATTTATACTTGCTACAATTTTCAAAATATGTCACAAGTAAATGTTTTGCCTAACCTTAATAATAAATTTTTAGATCTAGTTCTCTGTACTCAGAGATATGCAGTTGTGTCGATTTCGAGTTGTGTCGATTTCAACTGATATTCTATTGAATACTTCGCAACATCATTCAGCTTATACTATAGTGTTACATGAAGCCAATTTAAATTTGTTTTTTAAATATGATGTCTTCTATCATGATTTTAAAAAAAATGTAATTACCAAGTTTTAAATGAATATTTAGCCTCAATTCCTTGGAACAATGTATTAGATGAATCAGATATAAATTGCTGCTTAGAAAATTTTTACTATATTTTATATGATGCCATCAATATGTTTGTTTCTATCAAACGGTTTAAATCATTAAACTTTCCAGTTTGGTTTTCGCGAGAATTAATTGAGCTTGTCATACAGAAAAAAAATAGCTCACAAGAATTTTAAAGCATCAGCAACTCATATGATGAATTTTCGGTGTTAAGGGAAAGATGTAAAGAATTACAAGCAGTATGTTATAAGAACTATTTAGAGAATATTCAAACAAATCTTTCAAGTAATCCCACTCTTTTTGGAGGTATGTTAGTACTACACGTGAGTCTAGTGCTTATCCTAATATAATGTCTAATAAAGGTGGGGATGTAATAGCTCAGAATGGTGATGAAATAGTCAATTTATTTGCCAGCTATTTTTCAGGTACATATAATGATAGTGAGTGTAAATTACCTAATTTTAAATTGGACTATAATGTGGATTTCCAGAGTCTGAAGTTTAGTCTGACTGATGTTTTCGAGGGGATTAGCAGTTTAAAAACTACATATTCTTCAGGGCCTGATGGTATACCTGCAGCACTTATTAAGAACTGTATTTTTTCCCTTTGTAAACCTTTACAACAAAATTTTCAATGTATCGTTGTCATCATCTGTATTTCCACAATATTGGAAAAATAGTTTTCTTACGCCTATCTATAAATCTGGCAATCGCGAGTGTGTTAACAATTAGAGGTATAACTATTCAATCAGCAATCCCGAAACTTCTTGATAAATTGGTTATCGATAAATCTCACCTAGGCTTGCAGAAACTTTATTATTGATGAACAACATGGTTTTTCTAATGGGAAATCAACTGTAACAAACCTTCTCAATTACCAACAATACTTGTTGGGTGCATTTGAGAATAAAATTCAGGTTGACAGCGTTTACACTGATTTCTCAAAGGCCTTTGACCAGGTTAATCATAATCTTTTGAGTCCACAAACTTCATGCATCTGGCTTTGGTGATCCCATTGTTAATTGGATTAAAAGTTTTCTGATGAGACGTACACAGCAAGTTCGTATTAACAATTATATTTCAAAAGAATTTCATTGTTATTCTTCTCAGGGTCTCATTGTGGTCCCTTGTTTTTAACTTGTTCATTAACGATATTGGTAAGGCTATCAAAAACTCACACTTCCTGCTATTTGCTGATGATCTTAAGATTATTTCGTTGTATACGTAATAAATCGGATAGAGATCTCCTGCAAGATGATGTAAACAACATAATGTTTGTGGTCAAAACAAAATGGTTTAAGCTTAAATCCAACTAAATGTTCTTGTATTTTATTTGGTCGTATAAATAATCTAATGGCTAATAGATATATTTTTAATGATGTACTCTTGGATTCAGTTACTGAGATTAGAGATTTGGGTGTATTACTGGATTGTGCATTGACATTTAGAAGCCATTTTCTTAAAGTTAAGGAAACAGGATTTCGTATTCTTAGTTTTATTTATCGCAAACAGTCATGATCTCTCACCTATTGTATTTAAATTATTGTATTGCTCTCTGGTACGCTCAGGTCTTGAATACTGCTCTGTTGTCTGGTCCCCGTTTCATCAAGTATACATTGATGGATTGGAGAGCGTTCAGAGGAAGTTTCTAAGATCTTTAGCTTTTAAAGCCCATATTAATATAAAAAATACTGAAAATTATTTCATAGATTATTCTATAATAATGTCTGATTTTAACATTGATGCATTGAAGAACCGCAGGTTGAGAGCTGATATGTTGTTTTTGTTTAAAATTCTGAACAATGTTATTAATTGTCCCTCGTTATTGGCCAATGTACACTTAAACACAATGCATAGAACTCGACACACTGCACTCTTTCATTATTCCTTTTCATAGGACAGATTATGCTCGTCATTTTCCCCTGTCAAGAATGCTCAGCTCTTGCAATGACCTCCTATTGGATCCTTTCTGCATAAACATTAATGCTTTTAAAAGGCAACTTAAGAATCTGACTATTAATCTGGATATGTGATACTTACTAAGTGATACTGATACTTTTTTAAAATTTTTGTGATATGATGTATTGTTTTAATGTACAAATTTTAAACTGTTTACTTGTTCTTTTGTTATTGTTTTGATGTTTATTGTACATGATCTTTACTTTTTACTATTTTTTATATTTTATTGTAAATGGTTCTACCGTTGGAATGAATAAATAAAATAAATATTACAGTTGTGGAAGCGTCATTTATTTCATATGTCGTTACTTCTTGATTTTCCTTGTTACTCTTATTGAATACTTATTCAATTTACTAAGGATTCTTATTTCACTTGGTTTCAAGTATCTTCTTGTTGAGCTAGTTAACGGTCTCGTCTTAAGTGGTGTATGTCTGATATCGCACGCACAGTAGAAATCTTCGCCTGAGGAGACATGCATGCCCGTAAATACAATCAATATTCATCCTTGTGGTAACGAGAATTGGGACCTAGTGAATCTTGATACGAACCCTCCCAGTCCCAATGCTTCCCAAACACTTCACTCTCATCTCCAACACGTATTGTTATACCGTGTGGGCGACTAGTGTCATCATAATTTGCCTATCATACGAGAATTCTGGAAAAAAGTGCTATGATCCCTAGTGGCCTTTGCTGATATAGCGTTATTTTATTAATGATTATTGCTCAGAAGCCGAGTTCCCACTCCGATCAATATCAAGTTCATCTATTCGGTGCTAGAAGGATTTTTGTTAGTAATTTTTTTAGTCGTTTGTAGAGCTTTCTTAGTTTAAAAAAAATGGTGGCCGAAGTTTGTATTTTTTATGAAAACTTATGGTCAGTTGTTGTGTGATAGAAACTAAATTGTCTAGAGTTTTGTATATTTCCTAGCAGTTGTTGCTTTGGTCGTATTTGCTTCCATTTATGAAGATATTACACCCAATTATCTCTGCCAGCTTTGTAAATTTTATTCATGCTTTTTCTTTTAAAATTTCTCGCCCCAAGAGGATGTGGAGCTAGGTTTAGACAGTCGTGAGATAGGTTAGTTAGATACTGATAGAGCAATTTCCACGCTGCGATCTATTAAGACTGAGGTTTGAGGAATCCTCTTGTCAGTTAGACGAGACCCCTGACATATTTATATTAAAAAATAAAGCTGAGTGCAGTCATTAAAAAATTTTCATTCCAACTTTAGGGACTTGTTTTTTATTTAAGCTTGCTATGTCAAATGAGTGAATAAAATGTCACTGTTATTTTTAAAATTGTGTTCCTCTTTTCCACTTCCTTTTTATTATTCTTATTAGTGAGTTCAAGTCAAAATTATTTCAAAAATTCTAAGCCGCGAAAACAAAATATTTTTCATGTATGCCTGTGACCTAAAAAATTCGTCTAATATTATCGCAGCAAAGTGAATACAAAATTATGAACTTTACTCAGATACGAAAGATCACAGATATACAAAAGTAGTTTTAGGTTTAAAGTTTAATTTTATATTCGACTTACATCATTTTGAACTGTAACATCTTGGCCTTGCTCCAAAGTGTTTTTCCTTACTCTTCAACAAGGGCAAAACATATTGTGTTGTGCATGTACCGGGCTATATTTAAATTGTTTAAATGCACTTTAATTATTTGTTATTTGCTAAATAGAATGTTTGTACACGTGATGGCTGGATTTTTGTCTAATAAATGCAAATACAGACAAACATATGTACTAAACATTGCAGAAAAGCTATAAAGACCGGTTTAATT